AACGAAGCCCAATGACAAAAACTCTTAACCCTCATGACCAAGTCCCAACTTGAACAATCAACCACCATCAGTTAGTTTTACAATAATAGAGTTTGAGATTGCAAATTTTAGGTACATATATGGCATTAAGGAAACAGATTCCATACTCATCATCATGATTTGCTCTTGCTCATCATTCAAATTAAATCCAGACAACATCCATATCTAATTTAATTTATACAATTGTTTTATTTTAATAGATGCAGTTTCAAAATAAAAAAACTTTATTATTATCATTACAAAATTAATAAATCGGGAACTTTAAATTTACAACGTCCAAACTTGATTTGAATAGTGATGACCTAATTGAAATGGTCCCCAATCTCATCGTGATGATAAGCATTAAGTGAAGACGTGCATTGCGATTAATCACCTGAATGTGTCCCCTGGCTTGTTTTTCTTCCCCAACTGAATCTAGCTTCTTCTTCTTGTATTTTTTTAAAGGATAATTAGTTCACTATCTATTGATAATGAACATCTTGGACGACAAATTATTATTTGAACAGCATCTTACATTCTGAACTTTTAAAATGAGCATGCTAAACTCTAAAATATTACTCGAATAATAAACTACCTCCTGTCATTAATTTACATATAAGTACTATTATTTGTTACTTTGTTAGGCCTATTTATAGGCTAATATGACACTAATGTCCTTTTAACACATGGCATGTCAATTGGGTTACATAATTGATAATATTATATGGATAAATAATGAGGGATAATTTATTCAAAATTTATAAATTAAAAAATTTTCTTCTCATTTCAAAAGTTTAAAATTTAAAATATTATTTTAATAATAATTTATAATTCAAGATGCTTATTAACCCTACAATATATTACTAATCATTTAAGATTGGAATATCATCATCTACGAGTACGTACAAAGCTTTGATTGCTTCACTGTTGAAACTTTTGGTGTCCCGAGACTACAAGCCAAGGCAAGGAGTCAATTTATTGAAAGCTTGGTGAAATTAGGAATAAAGTTAATTTTTTTGAAATCGTGGAAGGACGAAGTCTATCGCAGTATCAAGGTGACTTTGGTCAGTGTAAGTACGTGCAAATTTAATTTACTCTCTCCGTTTCTTTATATATATATATATATATATATAATTTATATCATACAATTAAAAAAATTAAATAATTATAATAATTATATCTGAAAATAAATAATAAGACTAAAATACCCTATATTAATCAATATAAGTAAATATTAATTATTTCTCATTACTATAAACTATGAGTGGCTATTTAAAAAATATATAACAAATGATAGTTTCTAGAAACGGAAGGAGTACATTAATATTATTTTTCATTCTTGTCATCATGGTATGTATGATCTGGTGTTTTCTATAATACTTTGAAAATGATTATCTCCAAATATATGTATAACAAAAAATATTTAATTGATGTTGTTTTCGTAAAAATTGTTATATCTAATAAAAATAAGTTGACATAATATTTATTATTTACTATTTTATTTTGCATATTTAATTTAAATAATTTTAAAATTTAAAAATATCCAATAATGCAGGAAGCAAGACTTTTCAAGGTGTGATTATGGCCCTTAAATGGGGTCAAAATGTCATATTTCCCCGTGCAAGTTCACACAATTATATTGAACATGCTTAGCGAAAGGCTAAGCATACCATTTAATATCTCTGCTTCGGATTGCAAAAACAGAAAATGACTGATTTGTCGTTTTACCTTTATTTAAAGCTATGTGGTGGTCACAAAATTAACGAATGAAATTGAATATCAATAATAGAAAAAGAATGCAACTTTTGCCAAAATGATTAGCGCCATGGCCTCTCATAACGGCCTTAGGCCGAAAAAAAAAAATGCCAATAATTCATATATTAAAAATAATCATCAATTATTATATATTTTTAATAGCTAAAGTGTATATTTGATTATCTAATTTTATATAAAATTTTAATTTAATTCTTTAATTTTATAAAGTATCTTTTTATTTTTTTAATTATAACATTGTTAGTTTTAAATAATTATTTTTGTACTCATGCCATCATTGTTATTTTAAGAAAATTAAATTTAACATATCAACATTTAAAAATACTTTATTAATATTTAAAAGTTTAATGTTAAAAATTTTTATTGATAAAATTAATGGTGTTAGAGTTAAATGAATGAAAAGATACTTTATGAATTAAAGAATCAAAATGAAACTTAATATAAAGTTAAAGAATTAAATGTATACTTTAGTATTTTTTTAATAGAAAATCTAGTAACAAAAATATGAAATATTTTTTTGAAAGGTTGGATATTAAACAAAATATAAAATATTTTTAGTATTTTAAAGTATAATTAAGATACTTTACTCCAAAAAATCTTTAATAAATAAATTATTTTATATTTATTTTTTAATGAAATACTCTGTTAAATAAAGGCATATATAAAAATATGATATTAGTTTAAAAATAATTAACTAATATATAAAATGCAATATTTAGTTAAAAATATTTTATAATTTTTTAACAGAGTAGTATGAACTCTAGGATCCATATTTTGTTTGTGTACATTAATTGCAAAAGATATTTCACCAGAAGTTATAATTTGTCATGTTAATTATTACCAGCGGTTTTAAATACACGATTGTGCAAGGCTATGTATGGTCAGCATTCTAGTTAGTGAAAATTGAGTGATTTTAATCATCTTGTCATTTGTGTTTATATGGCCATTAGGCACCGCGTCAAGGGCCATTCATTATAGGCAATTGAACAGTTATTAGACTTTCTTAAACCACTTCTTAACATTAATTATATTCTTAATTTAATTATTGCTATCAGTTAGCTCCTGATATTAGTTACCTCTAAATTATTTTAATTTTTTTTTTAGCAAAGCAAGTAATGCCAGTAATGATATTAATTACACAGATTTTTTGAAAACTTTTCTTGCAATAAAAATGGGACAGGAACAATCGGACAACACTCTCCACATGCATATCACCTTTTGCAACACTTTCCAAATTATCAGTTTGAGCAGAGAATTTCAAAACCTTGTCATATGTGATTGGGTGGTTATATATATAAACGCCAAATTCATGACTTCATATACTCTTTTTTTTTTAACATGTATTTCATATATTCCTCTTATAGCATGCAGGGATTAGCTTTTAGGATATTTGTGTGACAAGCGCATATCAGTACAGTATTAATTTCTTTTCTTGAATAGTTTGACATTAGCGCTTGTTTTTGTTCTTTTCTACTCTTCGACCTCGCCCATGGGACAGTGCCACAGATATGGCTGCAAATAAATACAAAAAAAAAATTTAATTATTCATTCGGCCTATTTACAAGTTAAATTTTGGTATTTATAATCATATAAGACTTAGTTTATAAGTAATTAAATTTTTTAACTGATGCCTCTATATAATTTTTCCTATAAATAAAAGCAAATTCGTCGCCAATACCCATCCACCATCTTTGCGATTTTAAGAGAGGGAGAATTAAAAAAAAACAAAAAATAGAATTAAGATATGGCAATTAGGGAAAAGTGAGGGAGCAACAAGCATGAAGTGGGGGGCAACATCAAAGATTCACACAGCAATAATATCAAATAAGAAATGAAGCCAAGTGCCACATTCACTTTTAATTTGCTATCACTTCCCACCCACATTTACTATCACACGCATGCATTCCGAATATACCGATTCATCCTCCAACCAGTAGTACTTCTCTTGTTGAAAAATTCTTCGCTATCTCCATTTCTCTCTCAACTTGCCCGCTTTAATCAATCCCCAAAATATCATTTAATTACCTCAAGCCTATAATTAACTTAATTATCTTGTCATTTCCAACATTTCTCATTACAACTAACAAATTTTTTATTACTCAATAACTTGATTTCAGGCTGCTGCTTGCTCCAAAAAGTCCAAATGAATTAACCAGATCATCAACTCAAAATAAAAAAAAAAAAATTGAAGACAGGACCTTAATCTACTGATGAGCGACGTTCGGATAAGATTCCTGTGCGCCTATAATGCCGTCCGGGGCAATACAGCACATAAATAAATTACTCTACTTTGTGTTCCCACCAGCACAAAGCGGAACTCAGATCATATACGTGGAATACACATCATGATAGATTCTTTATGTATATCAACTCAAGTGCCACCAATCATCAAAGTTGCATATATTACTTCCTCCATTTTAAATTATAAGGCACTTTTAAATAAAATTTTACATATCAATAAACCTTATTAAATATATTAAATAATCTTATTTTTCAAAATAAAAATATAAATTTCTAAAAATTCTTATCATTTGATATATTAAAAAGAGAAAGGATGAAAATTAATTATAGAGAGAAAAAGGATTAAATCAAAATTGATGCATGTAATGAAACTTTAATTTATTTAAGGAGTTTTATGTTTTGAAATAAAAAAACTTCTTTAAAAGTATTTTATAATTTAAGACGGAGGTTATAATTTATGTGTAATAGTTAGCTCTGATTTGCTAATCAAGTCTCGACAATCCATTCAGCTAATTACCAAGCCGTGGGTTGTCCTGGTGGTAGGTATAAAATCAAGGGGTAACCAGCCAAACCAAGTGACCCAAATGATCCTCTATTATTTTTGCATCGCAGTGAAACCATGCATTTATAATTATTAATCACACTTTTTCATGCACACCCGGAAAATTAGAATATACTAATCTTCACAGAGATCCTGCAGGTTAAGAATTATTATTATTATTATTATAAAAAATGCACATTTCTAGAATATATATATATATATATATATATAATAAGTTTATATATAATTTAAAGGCCAATATAAAATTAATGTGAATACTAGATGAGGCTAATAACCGACTTGACGTTTTGGGCGCATTCCTACGCAGGTGTGAGTTTTTTCAAAGCGTAGGATTCTGGAAGGCCTTGCTTGTGGAGACCGAGTTACTTCTCACCTCAACAGATGAGAGGCTTATAAATAGGAGGAAGGGCTATTTCACTCAGGAGACCCAATTCCTCCTCCTCTCAAATCTGTGAAGTGTCAGCTCTAGAACTGTATGGTAATTGATATTCATATTACAAACATCAAGAAAGAAATGCAAGAGAATGGATGTTGTGGGAGCGTTCTTGAGAGGTGTAAGCCGTACATAGCCATGATCTCCCTTCAATTCGGATACGCTGGCATGAACATCATCACTAAGGTTTCCCTCAACCGAGGTATGAGCCACTATGTCCTTGTCGTTTACCGACACGCCTTCGCCACCGCCGCAGTCTCTCCCTTCGCTCTTGTTCTCGAGAGGTACTCTCATCCTTCCTCGAATCTTTCTTTTTCCTTCATTCTTGCTTGTATTCTGATTCATTACCTCTTTCTACTGTCTTCCTTGTCCCCTCTCTCTTTCTCCCAGGAAAGTGAGGCCCAGGATCACATTCCTTGTTTTCATGCAAATTTTCGTTCTAGGACTTCTTGGGTTAGCATTTTCATCTTCCCTGAACTTCAGTTCCTACCTACGGGAAATTTTCTGCAGGTTCTTACTCTCTGGTTTTACAGGCCTGTGATTGATCAAAATCTGTACTACGCGGGATTGAAGTTAACTTCCCCAACCTACTCATGCGCTGTAAGCAACATGCTTCCCGCAATGACATTTCTCCTGGCAGTTATCTGCAGGTACAACAAATATGACGATATTCAATACTAATCTGTTTTCGTCTTTCTTCTGCTTTGACCTCACACGGTGTGGTGTTGGTGGTGGCCAGGATGGAGAAGGTGGACATCAGAAAAGTTAGATGTCAAGCGAAGGTGATTGGAACGATAGTTACAGTTTCTGGGGCTATGTTGATAACACTGTACAAGGGCCAAGTCATCAACTTTTTCTGGTCTCACTACATGCGTCACCCTAGAGACTACACTCCTTCTAGTGATTCTGGGGACAAAGATTGGTTCAAGGGCTCTATTCTGCTTATAATTGCGACCCTTGCCTGGGCTTCTTTCTTCATCCTTCAGGCGGTGACGTTGAGGACGTACTCGGCTCAGCTCTCGCTCACGTCACTCGTGTGTTTCATGGGCACGCTGCAATCAATGGCAGTCGCGCTTGTTATGGAACACAAGCCCTCTGCTTGGAGCATTGGGTGGGACATGAATCTGCTAGCCGCAGCCTATGCTGTAAGCCTTGCTTTCTCTCTCTGCTTCTCTCTTTTTTTCCCAGGAAACGAGAATCTGATAGATGTGTAAAAATATGGTGAAACAGGGGATAGTATCATCGGGCATTGCCTACTACGTTCAGGGGGTCGTGATGCAGAAGAAAGGTCCTGTTTTCGTGACTGCATTCAGCCCTTTGATGATGATCATTGTAGCTATCATGGGCTCTCTCATCCTGGCCGAAAACATCTACCTCGGAGGGTATTTTCTACGCCCATATCTGCGATTGTTAATGACTAATTGATAAGTGATTGTTAATTAATGTGATTTGTGATTTTCAGGTTGATAGGGGCCGTGCTGATCGTTGTGGGTCTGTACTCGGTTCTATGGGGAATATACAAAGAGAACCAGGAGGCAGAGGCAGAGGCAGAGACAATCTCAGAGGAAATAAAGGGGCGTTCAGAAATTGGAAGAATGGTGCAAGTGAAGGAAGACATTGAAACGAACTACAGTGAGATGCCAAGTGTTGAAGGTCCTGTAGTGATAGCCATTAGTGTTCCCAAAGCTTAACGCAACAGAGAAGAGACAGCACAGAGAATAACAGAGGGTGCTTCGCATGAGTGAGGGAAAGAGACAGAAAGGGATTTGAGGGGAAACGTTTTTTGCGCCTTTATTTTTTTCACTGTCCTCACCTTTAATCTTTCGTCAAAAAACTGTTTGGTACAACTTGTAATTAGCAAAATTTGAAGAAGTTAAAGGAAATAACAGTGTCGGACATGCAGACATACTATTTCTTAGCATTCGCGTGGAAAGAAAACACGATTAGTTCTTTTTTTTTTGGGTTAAAAAAAAAGGGAATAAAACGACGAGAGAGAATCGTGATGGAAAATGCGTAGGGTTTAATTTAATGATTCGCGTTAGGATTCTCTCAAGTGCTAATACAATTGCCGTTTTGTCATCACGCTACATTGGCTACAGCGGTGAAATGTTCGAGAAGCTCAATGTCCCAAAAACAAAAAAAACAAAAAAACAAAAAGTGTTCTGGAGGCTGACTTAATTGTTGTGAGAATCTCATTAATTGAATAGAGGTGAAGTGTGAACCAAGGGGAATCAAACTGGAAAATTCTGTTTTATTTTATGGTTCGATGCCTCTTCCACTCTTGACAATGTTACGGTCATTATATTTGATTTTTTTAAAAAAAAATTATCGACATTAATATGTTGGGAGAAATCATGGTTTACTTTAGATATGTCAATCCTTCCCTCCCTGAATTCAGTAGTTAGATGATTAATTTATAGATATACAGAAAATTAAGTAAATTAGTTATTTCCCGCTGGAAAATTATGGTACTATATATCATTTTGAATGATTTTATCATTTTTTTTAAGTTTCCCCTTAATTATCATTTTTTTTTCATTATCATTCACCACTTGTTGATAACTCTCTCATTGTATTTTTTTTTTATCCCGCGAAGTTTGAATACTTAGCTTATTGCGTTGCTTTCATTTGAATTAATCTTTTTAATTGATCTTTAATTGATGATGTTTATGTAATAAAAATGGATTTAGTGTAAATTACAGGAAAAAATCATAACATGAAAGGAAAACATTCAGAAAGTTAAAACTCAGTTGCATATAGTTGAACATGTATATTTAAAGAAGAATTTTGGCACATTAATTATCTATAATTTATAATATATACTTAAAATTTTCAATTAAAACCACATAATTAATGGTGTTACATACATATAGCCATGCTGGTATTGATTCACATGGGGCAATGTATGCGTTTACTTATCTATTGGGTGGAGAATAAATATATATAATTACATCACCATAGAAATTCCAAGTGATGCATGCAACTCTATTATATTATACTCCTTTGGTTAAAGAATATAAGATATTTTTTATGAGTTAATTATTTAAAAATGTAAGGCATTTTTAATCTTTTGAAGTATAATTATTATCTTTTTTTTAAAAATGCTCTTATTAATAATAAATTTATATTTATTATAGAGTATTTAATAAGAATATATAAAAAAATAAAATTAATTTAAAAATAAATAACTATTTTATTAATAAATAAAATTTAATTAAAAATACTTTTCCTTCTCCCACTAAGGGAGTATTGCAGAAGTGTTCTTGTTTTGCACTTTCATTTGAGGGCCCCTATCCCAAACACAATATGCTTTCTTACATCATTCTCATTGAATTCCTGGCAGAATAACAAATAAGGACTCTTAAAACCTATCAAGGTTCTCTTACAGCCGAGACTTCATGAATTTATAATTCAAATGTCTTCATTTTACATTAATTTTCTTACAAAGTCTTCAATTATCATTCTCCCTTGATTCTTCCTTTTTATTTTGTAATTTTATGGGAAAAAATTAATTGAGCATGTTTCTTTTAATCAATTTGATCAATTACGAATCTAATAGTTAATCATGCAGAGTGTTGGATTTCAAAACATCCACATATCATAATTTTATCGAAAAATTAACATTTTATAATTAAAATTATTATTCAAAAATAATATACACATGTAAAATTTCATAATTCAATTTTATATTTACTTGATTAACCCTATTTTCTTCGTACAAGTTAAAGAACATAAAAACAAAGATTTACTATATCAATATTAAAGTTGAATAGGCAGAAATTATGAATAAGAAAAAGGATATATTTATAATCATCATCGGTGGAAGATGACAAGGCATAGAGCATTGCTATATTGTAACTGTTGAATTGATATGAGATCATGTAAAATTGATGATAAAGGAACGAGAGGAGAAGTGACAAAAAATTACTGATCACATAGTTTTGGCATATTCTGTTTTATTTATTGTGCTCGTTGCTGCGTGTGCTCTCATCAATTATGGGTATGGATTCAATGACTATCCCAAGTTCTTGCATAGAATGATGTCATTTCAACCTCAGGATTTCACCAACATTTCAAAATTGATACTCAACTCTATTGCAGGAATAACTTTTTATGTCAATTATTTTAGACTTTTTAAAACCTTACTGCTGGAATAACTTTTTTTGTTAATTATTTTAGACTTTTTAAGTCAATTCTTAAGAGAAGTAAAAAGAATCAAAGTAGAAAAGTCTGCTTTTCATACCTAAAAATCTGTTTAATATAAGTGCATCTTAACTATTTTTTGGCAACCATTTGCATCAACACAACCATTTGGGATGTCCACTTTATGTAAAGACTTAATGAATATATTAAAAATTGAATCGATCGTTAAATTAATTAAGTTAATAGTTAAAATTATAATCAAACTAATAATGAACAAAGCATTTTATAAATGGTTAATGTATCGGTTTAATGGTTTATTGGTTCATTCAGATTTCCATACTATACTTGATACACTTACTGAATCCAAATATACTAATCACACGTTAGCAAACACAAGATTATAGCCAAGAAAGTTGGTGTGTATGGGTGAGTAACTTTGCACCAAATATGTTAGCATAGTTATGAAGGCACAAAGTTATCACATTTGTGAGACCGGAACAAGGACACGCTGAGTCCAGCCTTTACTAACTGATAAATTTACTATAATTGAATATAGCGATCAGAAATAGGTATTATTTATCTCAAAGGAATCAAATTAAATAACGGAGCTCAATTACACAGATAGCTACTGTATGTACAGATATGTGAATATAGCTAAATCGATTCTTTTGGCATTCAAGTGGAAATTAAGTTCACATCATTTTGGTGTAGATAGTGGCCTGACATACGACTATATCCATTACTCTTTCTCACCAAATCTGTAATATTATATTCTGAAGTTGCCAATTTAAATCCAGAGCGACAACACCAGGAAGCATGATATGAAAGCCTACAGTATACCAACATCCATCACCACGATATCCATTGGATAACTTCTTGTGTCATTATAAATGGGAAACAAATTAAAGCAATAAATTAAAATGGCATAGTGGTGACTGGTGCGGGTGTTGATACGATATTCTCACTCTTTGATTACTTACAGATGTCATTCTATTAAAGACAATTCTGATCAAAGCATGATTAGACATTAAATGTAAAGATTATATTATCACTCTTTTGTACCACCAAGTGCCATTTCAGTATCATCCTGTTCATTAACATCACACTTATGCCTCTTGCTTGCCCATCTAATTATATATATATAACACCTTATTATTAACTGATTAATTCCAAGTGGACATACAATCATGCAGCAATTAATCCGTGTAAATTCTCGGTATAACTATACAACCACTTGTCATCTTCTAACTGATTTATGCGAATTAAAAGAAACATAAGATCATTCTATCAAGTCTTCACTGCAAAAGTGCTTGGACCTCCGCAGCCTGCTCGGCATATTAAAATTTTGACACAAGAAACCATTAAAGTGCGACGGCGTTTTTAATTTTTTTCGATTTCAACGAAACAAATTGGTAGAGGTGTTTTGTCCAAAAAAAAAAAATTGGTAGAGGTGAAATTAACTAGAAGGAAAAAAAATGATCCGTCAAACTTTTTATTTTTCATTGGACATAAAGAGGCAAGTAGCTCTTAATTAGTTTCAAGTTCTAATTAATTAATTAATTAAAACCTATTAGATATCGTCAGACAAGAACTTAACCAGGGCAGTATATGGTCTATAAATTGAATTAAGAAATTTACCAATTTGCATGTTGTATGTCAGACCTTCATTGTTTAACCGCAAATGAAGTCGTGATGACATGCACCTGCTTCGAAGAGGAGGGTAGAGTTTTTGGGCTAAAAAAAATAAAAAGGAGGGCCCAATTTTTTAATCCAAAGAAGGAATGCTTTGAGAGGGTATTGGGCCTGTAAAAGAGGTGGGAAAGCAGCATGGCGCAGAAAAGGAAATATGTGATAACTGAAAGGTTTGAAAGGAGGGAAGCCAACAACGGCTTATCCTCTCTGCTTCAAACTTACTCTGTCATATTGACATATCAATGGCGTTGTCTCCCCTGCCTTCCACTCTCAAAAATGAAGAGAATTTCCAACGGCCTGAATTGCCTGAGACTCAAATGGGGAACGAGGGCCTCACAAAGCGCATCCTCGAAACAGGACTCTCTTGGCAAACTCCATCTCCTGGAGACCAAGTCCAAGGTAGGTTGAATACTCAAACCAATCTGCCAGTTGTTGAATTCTGAGCCGAGCCGCTTTCATATCTTGTTTTGCTCGGTTTTCAGTTCATTTCAGAGGCCAAGTTCTCAATGGAGCGTCCCTTGAATCAAGTCACGATAAGGGAACCCCATTTTGCTTCAAGTTAGGCCAATGTAAGTGCTCTGTACCTTTCACTTGTTCTCCACTCATCTCTCTCTCTCTCTCTCTCTCTCTGCTTATCTGTATCTGTACTGAATGCAACGTGTGCATTCTTGCGCAAGCTTATTGTTTTCCTTCTTACTGGCCAATCTAATAAAACAAGGCGTTCAAAAAACAAACTTTATTACCAAACAAGCAAAATTCGTGATGCCCATTGCGAATGACATTTACAATAATCAGGCCTTTTTTTTTTTCTTTTGGGGTAACCTTCAATAATGATGAACTTTGTTGCTTTTAAAACATGCATAAGATAAACAATAATTATTATATTGCGAAAAAAGAAAGTTTTAGCGCAGAGAAATCAAATTGCTTGGCTGTTACGGTCTGCCAGAATATTACTGTTTCAAATGAATTTGAAATCTAGTAAATGTCATAATAAATAAAGCTAATCACCAATTACGTACAATTAATTATAGGCAAAAGAATTGTCTATATTAATTACACTTATCAGCTATACTCTATATCCAAACT